ATCGATATTTTAAAATATCGATATTGAGAAACATTCCTAATAAAATAATTCAGTGGTAAAAACTTGCGACACTGATTCTTTTTTTGTAGATTTTAGGTTTGGCCCATTTTTTATCGATTTTTTGAAATATCAATATTTTAAAACATCTATAGTAAAAACAATGGGGTTAAAAATTTGAAAAACTAGCAGGACGCCAATTTTTTGTGTGTAGGTTTTATGGATTTGGAATTTTTACTAAAAAATGTACGTATTAATATAGAATGAACCAAAATATTCTACATACTTCTTATCTTCCCTATATTTGTATTTTTAAAAAATCGATATTCTTACATATCGACATTTTAAAATATCGATACTGACAAATATTTCTAACAAAATAAATTAGTTTTAAAAACTTTTCACACTGATTCTTTTTCTGTAGATTTGCGTTTAGTCAATTTTTCACAGTATCGTTATTTTACAATACCGATATTTTAAAACATCTCTAGTAAAAAAGAGGGTTAAAAACTGTTAAAATGGCTAACAAAATAATTCAGTCGTAAAATTTTGCGACATTTGTTTGGCCTGGGTTTTTTGCAGTATCGATATTTTGATATATCGATATTTTAATACATCTCTAGTAAAAAAACAATGGGAGTAAAGTTTGTAAAACTAAACAGACTCTAAACCAGTTTTGTGTACATTTTATGGATTTGACATAGGTTTGAACTAATTTTTTTGCACTATCGATATTTTGAACTATCGATATTGACAAACGTTCCTAGTAAGATAAGACGGGCGTAAAAACTTGTAAACCGAGCCGGACGCTGATCCTTTTAACAGGATCGAATTAAATAAATTAGATAAATTTCAGATTACCAATTAGTACTAATCATAAGAGCGCTGTGTGAGAAACTATTAGAGGGCTTTTAAGTCGTTTTTGACGTTTGTAATATAATTGTCGACGAAATCGTAAACGACTATTGGCTTAATCGCAAATGGATGTCGTAAAGTAAGCCGTTTGCCAAGACTTTTATTTCAGAAAATTATTAAGCGATAAAATAGAAAATAATTATAAATATTTCATTACCGGAGTCTCTTAAGTGCGTTGTCCTAGAGAAGTATAATGAATTTCTATTAATTACTCGCATTTTATTACAGATTTAACTGAGTCCAAGAAAAAGGTTTAACTATTTAATGTCTTTTCTTTTAATCGAAATACCTTTGTAACTGTCTTTCCTGCTTCATTAAGACAAGTTAATCATTTTTTTCTCTCTTAAAAGTTCCGGAATATATCGACGCTTTTTTAGCATTAAACATTGTTGCACTTATAATAACTTTTACCCTCAAAATTTCATTCCAACCGCCAAACCCCTTGTAACTGCCAAACAAAGCAGATTCGTTTATGTCGATATAAAAAATACATCTTATTTTTACGTGAGGAATCTTCCCACGAGAGATGGAGATGGCACATACTTTTTGAAACACCCTGTATTTTTGTGATAAATATACAATACTCAACAGTATAAAAATGTAAAACTACAAAATGTAAAACTTGGAAAATAAGTTTTGTCATAGAGCTGATATTTGGAGGTTGAGGGTCTTTTGACTATAAACGTTGCAAGTACTGTAAGGCAACGGGTCGTTTGACCAGAAGAAAACCTCTTGTGACGTCTTGCCTTCGAGGTTGGTCTTGAGAGTTTGAGGTCTCCCTTGTCTTCTCGATTGACACGATGCGGCGTTGGGGTAGAGACATTAGTGAGGTACCCCAATTAGCTTATTCGATTGGGATACGAATCTGTTTAGCGGCAGAGTTGCGTCCGGGGGAAGCCCCTATACTATTTCAGGTGACACTAGCTAGTTGTTGAAGATGATTAACCAATATATAACCGAATGATATTTGAATTAGATGGAAAATATGGAATGGGATATATTGAATAGAATATATCAGTGGCTAGGGGGCGGAGTACCCCCGGGTGAGTCTTACTATTTAACTATCAATTTTATCCAGATCAGTAAATGTTTGTTTTGTTATTTTCATGTACAATGAGAGAGTGCTTGCCAATGACCAACTAAATGGATATTTGAGGTGAATTTGCATTGTGAGACCCAGTTGAGTAAGCCCCAGAAATAAGCGATTTAACAAAAAATTGTGTCAATCTGATTCAATATTTGGTCCCGATAGTTTTGTCAGATTAACAAACTAACAGGCAATTAACAGACTAACAGCGTCATTGGTTCTGTTGGCGTTGTTGTATAAGTTTGGTAGAAATTAGTAGTTAGACATGATTTCATAAATTTTTGGTAAAAAGTGGTGATATAAATAAATTTAAGAGTACTATAGGTGAGACAAATACAGGATGAGTCTTAAATAAGTGCAAATCTTTTCAGGGCTGGTAGAAAAAAAAATATTTGTTTTGTTTAAATTTTGAGAACCACTGTATTTTTTCTGGGTTTCCTTTCTTGTAATAATCTACTACCTATGTTGCCATATTATCAAAAAATTATGTTTAAAAAATTATTCGCAAAAAAACCTCATAATCGTTCTGGGGTCGAAATATACAACCCCTAAAAATATTTGCACTTATTTAAAACTCACCCTGTATTGTATTAATAAAATGTAGTCGGGTGTTAGGTGAGAATTGTAGTCGGAAAACTTCGGCAGCATATAAAAATAAATAAAAAACTTCGTATAGCGTCATTTCGGAGATAGAGGGTGTAGAAGTTTCATTTTTATTTCGTTTTTTTCCCAAATAATTTCTGAAGTATAGTTGATATTTGGATAAAAATTAGTTTTTGGGTTTTTGTTAAGTGTTTTGAAGAGTAATAACTTTTCGTACGTACCTGTATAAAACTACTGAGTGAATCTTTTAATCAGATAATAATTTTCTGAGTAAAACTTCTTACTAATCTTTCTAATCTATTACAATAATAAATTTCTAGTAATAAATTTTTTTTCCAACGTCACAAATGTATTCATCAGAGAGGTATTCATTTTTGCGATGTGATTGACAATATAAAAAAGTCATTTTAACGCATGATTTTAACGCCTAGACATAAAAGCCATAAAAGTAAAGCACTTTTACGCCTAGCACAAAAGTACGAAAATACATAGCGAAAATATATTATTAAACTGTCATAAAGTGTCAAATTCAATGACCGTAACCATAGTTTCTCGATATATAATTACATACAAGGTATTACTTTTAAATATTTTTATACTATTTGGAACGTTAGAAATTGTTTAAAAAATTATTTGTGGCGTTGGAAAAAATAGCGTGTTCTATTCGGAGTAAAATTGACTTTTTATCGATATCGAAGTCAAACATATACAGCCTCGCCACAAAAAGTGTCATTTTGACTCCTAATAAAACAATATATAGAGATTTTAAAACATTTTCCGATGCACGTCATCAACTTTGAGTGACAAGCAATAGCGACAGCGCTGCCAGATTGTGATGGATTTATGAGATGAAACTTAATTTAAAACTGACAAACAATATATGTATATATATTTAGTATACAATTTTTATATATTTTGTTTTAAGGCAGCAGCTACCCGCTACAAATTGAAATAAGTAGAAATAACTTGAAAGTGGTATAATGTGCTTACCAATCAATCTTACTTCTGTGACTGCATTGAAGGGTAATAAAGGACCTTTATTGCCACGTTCGCGCTCAAAATATTTTATCAGGGAAACTACAACTGCTTTGCGTCGACTGTTTAAAGTCTTCATCAGATTTTCAATCTACAATTTCAAAAAATGCAGTAAAAAATCTTAAAAATTTAGTTCTTAAAAGAACTTTTTGTGCTTAGAAGTACAATTTAAGAAAAAAACACTATGAAAAACGGCAAAAAACGAAAATTACTCCCAAAAAATCAACAACACGACATTATACAAAATAATGACTGACACTAGGATAATTGTCAAATAATACACGACAACATTGCTGAAAATGGCGCAATGTGACCAACAAGGCGATAATAAAAATCGGTTTAAACTAATTTTTGCAGCTTAATGGTGGGTTCATACAGCCAAATAAAATAAAATAAGAATAAAATAAGAAAGTTGGTTATATGGGATACCGTACATGCGTTCATACAGCCAAATAAAATAACAAATAAAATAAGAAGTCTTTATCTTTTAACTTCTTGTTTTATTTTATGTGAAAACGGCTTTGCGCACGCTTAATTCTAACCTACAAATCTTTTCAGTTTGGATTTAATTTATTTTATAATTTCACATAAGTAAAATGTATAATATAGTAGGCAACGAATAAATAAATATACTATAAATAGTAAAATTACTATAAACAATCGTAAAAGTTAACTTTTATCCAGCCTCATCGTACTGCGCATGAGCAAATATATATTTCTTATTTTATTTTATTTGACTGTATGAACGCACACAAATAAGAATTCCTTATTTCTTATTTTATTTTATTCTTATTTTATTTTATTTGGCTGTATGAACCCACCATTTAATCTAAATAAAATATCTGTTACAATCATTTGCTCTATAAAGTATAATGAAGAGCTGCTTGGTATTTTAATTTAGTCAACAAATTTAAACATTTTTGCTAAAATTTCATTTACTCAGGTTTATAGGCTTTAGTGTCAATTTCGATGCGATTGATGATGTGCATCGGAAAATGTTTTAAAATTTCTATAGGTACTATTATTTTTTCCACACGGCGTCGCGTCGCGTCGTCAACATAAAAGAACATTTAATTTTGTAATTTTCAGAAAAAATTGAACATTTACTATGGAAATAACAGATTCATTGTAATACCCAGTTTACAAAAAAATAAATAAATATTTTCAGATTACATTTCTTTTGTAGATTTCTTGTAAAAATGCACTAAATCCTTTTTTGAGTGTGTATCTCCTTACCCTCCTTCATATTACGTCGTGTTACGTATACTCTTGACCCTTTTTTCCAGCCTTATGCGGGAGTAGAATCACCACAATGGTGGGAGATCGCCTCCAAGTCACCGTATCGACCACTGTAAACGCTCAGTCTTCACCAAGCGCTCTTGCGTTGCATCTCTTAGGCCACAACACCGCCAATCTCAGCTTAAAAACACGTCGTTCGAGTCACCAACGCGCGAGTTGAAATATTTCGCGTCGCAATGTTACAGTTTGAGGACGAAATCTCGGAGAGACTGGGTCTAAACCTACAGAATTTGGACTCAAACAACAATACGAGTGAATCAGATTCTCGGGGTGATAAATATTCTTTGAGACCTCGATCTATGAGAAGAAAAAACGTTTTGAACGACTTCGAAGAAATCCCTCTGTGTCCTCAAAAATCTTCGGGCGGTTCATCGAAAGCAGTTAAGACAAAATCAGCTCCTCTGAGTAAATATCGTAGAAAAACGGCGAACGCTCGCGAACGGAGTAGGATGCGCGAAATAAACATGGCCTTCGAGGCTTTGAGGAAGGCCGTGCCTCAAATCGCTCCAAACCAACAGCAAAACGAGAAACTAACGAAAATAACGACCTTAAGGTTGGCGATGAAGTACATTTCGGCACTCTCGGCAGCTCTGAGTAGTTCTGGCGATTTTCCGGCAGGAAGGCAGGACATTTTTTCCGAATGTGTTGAACTGGACTCGTTTTTATTGGAGTCGGACGGTGAGTCAGTGCCAGTGAACAGTGAGGGATCGGAGCACTCACTCACGCCCCAGGATTTCGCGGTGGATTTCGAAGATTCGCTCACGTCCATGGATTTTTCGCCGGATTTTTCCGATCACCTGCACTTCGACACGTTTTTGACGGATTTCAGCTAACATGAACAGTTTGTTGCGTTAACTTTCTGGATATTTAATAGTGTCGTATTTTGTTTGTCAGTAAAAAACTTTTTGCGCTTAGCGCTTTTTTCCTTGCTTATTTTATCAGAGTGAAAAAATAATATATTGTTTTCTTAGGAGTAAAAATTATAGGTACGTTTTGCGCCGAGGCTGTTTTTACTCCGAATAGAACAAGCTATTTTTTTTCAAACGTTACAAATATTTTTTAAACAATTTCAACCATTCCAAATAGTATAAAAATATTTAAAAGTAATACCCTCTAAGAAATTATATATCAAGAAACTAAAAAAAATACATTATTAAACTGACATAAAGAATTGGACATTTTATGTCAGTTTAATAATATATTTTTGTACGTTTGTGCTGAGGCGTAAAAGTGTTTTACTTTTATGCCTAGATGTTAAAATGAGTTTTTTATATTGTCAATCACATCGCAAAAACTAATACTTTTGTGACGTTCGAAAAAAAATCACATTGTTTTAACTAATTCCAAAAAATGGGCTCAATCAGTCAATCAAATTAAATAAAACTGGTATTTTATACTATTAGCTGTAAAAGTTGTGTTAATGTATTAAGAATTAGTACAGAATAAAATAATTATGCCGTAACTTTTAAAAAGTAGCTAATTGTGACTAACAAATTTATATTTTTTATTATACTACCAATCTTGGTAGAACATCGAGTTAATGTAACAGAGTTTACTAGATGGAAATTCAAAATATCCAAATTTTGTTTTGCCAACAATTTATTATTACCTTCTTGACTTATTTTTCCCATTTTTTATCAATCATAATGAGTTCAGCTAAGCAAGAATAATTAACTATTTTGAAATGTATAGTTGATAGTGTCTCTTTTTATCAGTTTTTTATCGTAAGAATCGTTATTTCAAAGTTTTAAACTCAAAAATTTAAACTTTTTTTTACTGAATTCTACTTTCCAAAGTTTTTTTGTTTTGTGTGTTAAAACTTATTTTTTTATAATTTCTTTACTTTGATTTATAGTGTCATATTAATTTTGTTATAATTTTAAAGTCACTATTTATTGAAAATTGTGCCATGTTGTTCGTTACAGATATCCTCTAACCAAAAACTTAAAACTTAACTTTTTTTTGATATACCTACTTAATAATTTTTTTTCATAAAAAACAACTCCTTTTCATTGTTTTAAAATTTAAATTTTCAAAATTTACTTTTTAATATTTATAAATTTATTCTAAAAAATGAACATTATTTTAATAATTTATTTAAATTTTTTACAAATTTTATTGTTTATTTAGATATTTGTGTTTAAAATTGTATTTTCTTCTCTATGATACCTATAGGTAACTTTTTACAGAGGTAAAAGTGAAACTTGAGAATGTAATTAATTAGAAATACTTTTTCTGTGTTTATTTCCACTATTTTTCTATATTATATATGTATATTATGTCCTACAAGACGTTTTGTAGTCATAGAGACTGATATTTTTGCATTCTCATATCTCTATTTTTTGTTATTGTTTCTTAGACAATCCTTCTATATTGTTTATGTGTGTATACTTAAATCTTGTGATAATACGTGTTTTTTAACTGTCCGTCCTATATAAATATGTACTTTGTAAAGATATATATTGTATAAATTTTTATAGAGAGATTTCTTAAAATATTTATTTATTTGTTATAGTTTTTTCTTTTTTTTAGTAAATTTTTCGCTAATATATTTTCTTGTTAAGTTGTAAATATGGACTTTATTGCAAGAGATAACGTGAAATAAGTGCCTTATAATTTGTTTAAGAGATAATTTTTACTATTATGAAGCTTCTTGCTAGTATTAAAATGATAGTTTTTATGGAGTAATGTTGTACAGAATTTATACAAAATGATATTGTGTAAATAAAGAAATATTATTTTATTAAAAGGTCTTTTATTTATCAAAAAATGGCTCATTTGAACTTAATAGTGGGCATTCATTTAAGATTGTGAAACATTAAGAGTTCATTTTACTAGTCAGAAACAGTAGCATTCGGCATTTAGTTCGGCATTTAACGTTTTATGTAAAACTAGCTAGGTATTTTTACACAAATGAAGAAGGAAATTAATGATAAAAGATTATACTATATCCGTATTGTAGCACATTTTTAGACAACTTCTTTATTTTTAAGATTTCGATTGTCAAACACCAACAAAATATTCCTTATGTTTGGACTAAATTTTCTCGAAAATAAAGACATAATTTTAAAATTTCGTTACAATACGGAAATAGATTGAAGTTTTGTGATTACAGTGATATATAATTTATAGGTTTTGTAACAAATTGCTCGCTATTTTATGTCAAAAGCCGAAGCTCTGCAAACCTTAATCAAGCCTTAATCAAAGCACGTGTGTTTGGAATTTTAGGTGTGGCTTAACACGACAGGATCGGGCTATGCTTTAGGCAGATTTCTGAAATATAATATATATTTCCTTCGGCCACATACCCGCTTTACCCGACCTCTGAGAGCAACCCGAACAGTACAGTGTCACACAGTGTAATAGACTATTAATGTACAGCATATCTCTGGATTGCCTTTTTGTATTATTGACATTTTGACAAAAATGCATTCTTTTCCAAATTTCCCTACCGTCTTAGAGAGAATTAAAAATATAGTTGAAGGGTACAGGGGAAAAACGGGCTAAGTCAAATTTTATGATTTTGAGATAAAGCAATTTTAAAGTTCAAAACGCTGCAAAAAATACAATATTTCAATTTAAAAAATTCTCCTTTTACACGTATGTTCCCTAACTATCTCGGATCTTTGAGTCATAAAGTTTTCGCTTTTAGAAAAAAAATTGATAGAAAAATCAAAAATTTATTGGTAAATGGTCATGACTTAGCCCGTTTTTTCCCTGAATTTATAACACTTTTGTATTTTGAAGTATTTTATTTCACTCAATAACCAGATTTATGTTTACATAAATAATATAGAGAAACAGAACAAAAACTAGAAAATAATCTTCGTTATTCTGACATTGATCCGATCATCTAAAATGGAAAATTAATGTTTTGATTTGTGTAAAAAAGTAAAAAAAAATTACTTTGAAATTTGTTTTATAGGAAGAAAGAAGAAAACCAGAACCCGGGAAAGAAGTCACCAATTTTCTCAATTAATTATGCACTAGTGAGGTAAAATACTCCTGAGCTTCCTTTCCACAAAACTTTTTCAAACTCTGCAAATATGTAAAACGATTAATGGCGACCAGAACGCTATCGAATAGGCGCGTAAAAACACGACTTTTACGCTTTTTGCTCGGTACCGCACGAACTTGTCACGTTATTCCCCTGTACGGGATATTTTTCTTGTTTAATATCTTCTGACTTATCGCGTTCTTGCCATGGAAGCTATCTTTAGAACAAAATTTAACATATTTTCTATCAGATGACATCAATATCTCAATTTCGCTAAAAATTGACTTAGTCCGTTTTTCCCCTGTACCCTTCGGTTCATTTTTTTCCCTTCATTCTTTGATAGATTGTTATTGATAGAATTTTAATTAATTTCCCCTGTACCCTTCGGTTCATTTTTTTTCCTTCATTCTTTGATAGATTGTTATTGATAGAATTTTAATTAACGTCATATTTTTTGCTGTTTTAAAATGTTAAAGAACCACAAAATATATTTATTTCCAGTGGCGTAACAACAAACTCACGGGCCTGTGTGCAAAAATTTTACCGGGCCTCCCATATTTTAGGTTAGAAATAACATTATCAAATTAATTTTTATATAGTATTATTTATTACTGCAACACAGAATATGTAACCCAAAACATAAAATATTAAATAAATAAAAAATAAATAAAAACAAGACAAAAAACAACAAAACTAAGTAAATTAAAATAAACAATGTAAATAGGAACATGAACATGTTAAAATTCTCTTTTCCTTGCTTTAGCATGGGAGAAAGTTGACACAATATTACCAATGTCTATTGTATACAAGTAATTTCATTTTCTATTAAAATAATTGCCAAAAAAAGTGGCAGTTTCGGGCACCTCTCGTAACTCAGCTGCCTTATCGTCCCCTTAATACAACCATCATTAGGTAACTAGAGTTTTTGTGATTTTGAGTTAACTAGTTTGGCCAGTATAATTTTTCATGCTCTTTTTAATGCTACAACTAGCTTAGTTCTATTTCTATTCGATGGTAGAGAAATCCAGTGACAATACAGCAAATTTCCTTTTTTGTCAAATTTAATGCTCTAATGAAAAATCACATATTTCCAGTTATTTTTATTTTGCAAAATATAAAGGAAAATAGAGCTACAAAATTGCACAAGAACAAGTGTAAAGTAATAAGTTATTTTCGCGATAGCGTGTGCTAGTTAAGAAGACATGTGATAGATAAGAACTTAGTTCGGGATCGCCCGATTTTGCTTGATTCGCGATAGCATTTACACTGTTTATTTCAATGCTACAGAAAGGGAAACAGCAAAAGATATGACGTAAATCAAAATTAATAACCATCTATCAAAGAATGAAATCTAAATTCTATTACCAGAGAAACGCCTTTTGAATTTTAGGACTTCATGTTTATTTTTATTTTCTCTAAAACGGTATGGAAATTATGAAGAATGCATTTTTTTCAAAATGCAAGTAATAAAAATGTTTTTCCTCTTGTAAAGACAATGCTGGGACATATTGTCGAATGATGAAATAGTATATTACATACCGAGGAGAGAAGATTCATTATTGTCGAGAGATTGATATTGTTAATCGAGACGCGTAGCGTCGATATTAATTAAATCTCGAGACAATAATGAAAACTTTCCTCCGAGGTTTGTATACTATTTTATTTACAACCACATCATTAATTAAAAAATACGGATAGTATTTTATTTTGAAAAAAAAATATGCGAAAATTTGTCGTTTTCTGTTTTGGCATTCTATAGTTACCGGTACCAGTGGTTATTATCATGCCCTAGACCCAATGGTAATTTTATAGAACTACAAGTTTAGTTTCTTCCGCATCGCCAGACGGCGCAAAAGACATTAAAGTACAGGTTTCTAATTTATATTATGAAGATGACATGACAGTCTCTATGTTAACTACTGTCTATGGTCTAGTTTTTGTCTAGTTGACAAAATGTTGGTGATCCGTCAAGTTATTTTTAAATCATTATTTAAATAATTATTAATTCAGATATTCCCAGATATTCCTGATTTGTCGGAAAGTTCAGTGATTTGCGTGATTTGTGTTTATAGTTTGTGTTTTTATTAGTTTGTGCATTCCTTTGGTGCATTCTGGTATTTACAGTCCATCATGATTTTCGTGTTAGATACTAAACTTTTTTTATTAAAGTCATTTTGACATTTTAGAAGTAATAATTTATAAACCAAATAAAAAAATAGTTTAATAATAAATAAGTAAGCACATAGTTGGTAATATATAGTATTTTTAGTAACAGTTAATTAGTAGTCTATAATATTTTTACTATATTATAATTTAGTTGTTAAATCAAAAAAAAATAGGCGCTATGTGATCTATTGTTGGTGTTTAAAATGTATGTATTTATAATTTTAATTTTGTTGTAATTATGTTACACTTCTAATGATCTCATAAAACATAAAATGCAGTAAAAAAGTCTATATTTATTATTTTATATTTTACAAGGAATAATTTTGCGATTGAATAACGTTACGTTTTAATTAGCGTTAATAAGTAACGTAACGCTAAAATTATGTTATGCCAAAACTCTCCATTAGTTTCTTCCGGATCACCAGGTGGCTCTAAATGACGGACCCATTTGTTTTATATCAGTGTCCAATCTATCTCTAGTACGTGACATTAGTCTATGGTTATTATGGCGCAAACCTTTAACAGCAAAACAAACAACTAAGTGACAGTTTTGAATTTCTCGTTCGCTTTTTCGAATTTATATAACACAGAAAGCCAGAATGTTGTCGGAAAGTTCTGATAATGAAGACTACTTTAATATTGGTATT